CAAGGATGCCCACCCTCACCACTTCTACTCAACATAGTACTGGAAGTCCTAGCCCCAACAATCAGATAAGAAAAAGAAATAAAAGGTATCCATATTGGAAGGGAAGAGGTAAAACTTACACTCTTTGGAGATGACATGATACTCTATATAGAGAATCCTAAAGTCTTCGCACAAAAACTACTAGAACTAATAAATGAATTCAGCAAGGTAGCAGGATACAAGATTAATATACAGAAATCTGTTGGATTTCTTTACACTAACAATGAAAGAGAAAATTTTAAAAGTTATATCGTTTATTGCATCATAAAAAAGAAACAAAACCCTAGGAATAAACTTAACCAAGGAGGTGAAAGACCTATACACTGAAAATTGTAAAACACTGATAAAGGAAATTGAAGATGATTCCAAAAAATGGAAAGGTAGTCCATGCTCTTGGATTGGAAGAATTAATATTGCTAAAGTGAAGCACTCTACAGATTTAATGCAATCACTATCAAAATACCCATGACATTTTTCAAGAACTAGAACAAATAATCCTAAAATGGATATGGAACCATAAAAGGCCCAGAACTGCCAAAGCAATCCTAAGGCAAAAGAACAAAGCTGGAGGTATAACCCTTCCAGACTTTAGACTATACTACAAAGCTACAGTAATCAAAACAGTGTGGTATTGGCACAAAAACAGACATATAGATCAATGGAACAGTATAGAGAGCCCAGAAATAAATCCACATACCTATGGTCAACTAATCTATGACAAAGGAGGCAAGAATATACAATGGAGAAAAGACAGCCTCTTCAGCAAGTGGTGTTGGGAAAACTGGACAGCCACCTGTATCAATGAAATTACAACATTCCCTCACACCATCCATAAAAATAAGTTTGAAATGGCTTATATTACTAAATATAAGACATGACACCATAAAACTCCTACAAGAGAACATAGGCAAAATATTCTTGGACATAAATCGTAGCAATATTTTCTTAGGTCAGTCTCCCAAGGCAATAGAAAAAAAAAGCAAAAATAAATAAATGGGACCTAATCAAACTTAAAAGCTTTGAAACAGCAAAGGAAACCATCCGCAAAACAAAAAGACAACCTATGGAATGGGAGAAAATTATCTGTAAACAATGCTACCAACAAGGGCTTCATATTCAAAATATACAAACAGCTCATACAACTCAGTACCAAAAAAACAAACAATCCAATCACAAAGTGGGCAGAAGACCTAAATAGACATTTCTCCAAAGAAGACATACAGATGGCCAACAGGCACATGAAAAGATGCTCAACATCACTGATTATTACAGAAATGCAAGTCAAAACCACAACGAGCTATCACCTCACACCAGTCAGAATGACTATCATCAAAAAGTCTACACATAATAAATGCTGGAGAGGGTGTGGAGAAAAGGGAACCCTTGTACACTATTGGTGGGAATGTATATCGTTGTAGCCACTATGGAAAACCATATGCAGGTTCCTTAATAAAACAAAAAATAGATCCATATCATCCAGCAATCCCACTCCTGGGTATATATCCAGAAAAGATGAAAACTCTAATTCAAAAAGATACACGCACTCCAATGTTCATAGCAGCACTATTTATAATAGCCAAGACATGGAAACAACCCAAGTGCCCATCAACAGATGATTGGCTTAAGATGCGGTGTATATATATACAATGGGATGTTACTCAGCCATAAAAAAAGAATGAAATATTGCCATTTGCAGCAACATGGATGGACCTATAGAACATTATACTTAGTGAAGTAAGTCAGACAGAGAAAGACAAATACTATCTGATATCACTTATACGTGGAATCTAAAAACAATACAAATGAATCTATATATAAAACAGAAACAGACTCACAGCCATAGAAAACAAACTTATGATTACTAAAGGGAAAAGGGAGAAAAGGAGGGACAAGTTAGGAGTATGGGATTAACAGGTACAAACTACTATACATAAAATAGATAAGCAACAAAGATTTACTGTATAGCACAGGAAACTATATTCAATATCTTGTAATAAGCTGTAATGGTATATAATCTGAAAAAAAATAACTGAATCACTTAGCTATAACCTGAAACTAACAGAATATTGTAATTCAACTATACTTCAGTTAAAAAAAAAAGAATGCCAAGGCCCTCTTATAATTATAAATATAGGTACATGGGGTTTTTGTATCTGTGGAAGGAGGGAAACTTGACAACCTTCATAGATGTTGTCATACATTGTTGCTGGGAGAATTAAGCACTGTCCGTAAGACTCCTTTGAGAAAGGACAATAGAAAGCTGTACCTGGTCTCTTCTGGACTTTGTCCTGTGTATATTTTTCTGGTGCTGATCTTAATCTTTATCCTTTCATTGTAGTAAACTGTAACCATAACAGCTTTACTGAGTTCTGTGAGTCCTTCTAGTGAATCATTGAACTTGAGGGTGGTCTTGGGGATCCCTGACTACACATACTTATTCCCAAAGCCATAACCAGACCATATATTAAGTATTTGCTAGGTTTTTCACTGACAGGTTACATGATTTTGAAATGACCAAGTTAATGCCACAGCCAGTTCCTCGGACTGAGAGGTCATCAAATACTATTTACAACTAGAGAGGGTGGAGACAGAATTAAGCCAGGAATAAGATCAACAATTTCAGGAACATCTCTTTCCTCAATTTTTTTTCTTAATGGGTTGTTCATTAATTTTTTTTTTAAGAAATCGTTTCGCCAGTTTTTCTTCTGTTTTAATATTTAATAGTCCTTGAAACATCCAGAGATACTTTTAAAAAATAAATTAGCTGCTAGGGCTCTACTTCTTTGACATAAGTCAAACTTAATAGGAATAGGTTACTCTTCATTACCTTCTTTAGCAGAAAATTGACCTTGCAGTTATTTAGCAGAGTGAGACTAGTGGTGGTCATTCCAACAAACATGATTCTGAGCCCTTTAAACCTTTAAAAGATTAATCAGAAAAATATACTCTCTGCTTTGAAATACCTTATACACAAAGGACATCAACAAAAGGGCAAATAATAAAACTGGAATACATAAAACACAACCAAAAAAATACACTTAACATTTGTATAGATTTTTTTCTTCATACTTCCTTCAAAAGATATGGTAATATGATCCAATTATCTGTTCACAAATTCACAAACAAAAGAGACCATTACCCAAGCTCTCTTTAGTTTGTACATTAACCTTTTCAGCTTTACTGCTCCTATAAAACCTTAGAGAAGAAATCCTCAGTTTTCTTTCCTGAACCACGATTCCCTGAACCTATACTGTATAAGCCAGATGTGAGTTTACAAAATATTACATGTGAAAGTATTGATAGAACACTGATAATACAAAAGACAAAAGTGAAATGCATAAGAGTCTCCAATATTTTAAAGCAAAATATCAGGTTCTTAATTATCGTGGAAACCCACTGAACTTAGGAATTCTAGTTTTATTCCATTTGAACATTCAGAAATTATTCAGATGATAACTTAAAGCAAGATATTATTATCATTAAGAAGAAAATAATTGTTGTACCAAGTAAACAACCAAAGCCATCTCATCTTAGAATTTGAACTTATAAAAATGAACATTTCAAGGAAAAGTAGGTTTATAAATGTCTATGACAATAATTTATCTAAATGGGAATTTCTAGATTAAAAAATGTCAGTCACAAGACCCTTTCATAAAACAGAAATATAGATCAAGAGAAAGAAAAAGATAATCTACCATACACATCACTATAGCATGACCATCTAGTCAATGCATTAATTTTACAAAGAATAATTTCAGGTTTTTATAATTGATTTCTAAAGGTAAGATTCAATATTCTTATCGGGGGAAAAAATTGTCTATAATAGAATTTTGGCATTACCATTAAAATATCAACTAATCAACATAAATGCCTAGTCTGCATTTCATTGTTGCAAGGAGAAAATGTTCAAATGTTCACCTGACTCATGATTTAAAGTACAACACTCTGGTTGGTCTTTAAATCTGCATTTTAAAAAGGAAGAGGAGGGAAGGGATGAAATAGAATCTGAAAGATTAAACTGGAGGAGGGAAAAATGGCTAAGATAGATTTTAAAAGAAAAAAAAAAGGTCACAAGCAGAAAATAAAGAAATGAAACCCAAAGAGTAGTTGCCTCTTAACATCATATAAATTTTTCTCTGTGATGGCAAATTCCTGGCTTCAGAGTTGAGCTACCTCATTTCTGCAGACAACCAAAAATATACATTCGTATCTGAGTAATTAATGGGACATTTAAATTCACTGAACAATTGTTAACTGCCTCTGTGCAAGGATGTACAAGGCCCAGTAAGTACTAACACTAAGGAAATATATGCAAATGAGTATGCCCTTTCTGGGTGTCTCTAAGAAGCTCATCATTTCAGCCAGGCTGCTAATACTCCAAACATTTCTGGAACTTCCTTTGGAATACTCAGTACCCAAACCAATATAAACTTTATAGTTTATATTGTATTATAGTTTATAGCTAGTACAGAAACATGTCTCCAGGCCCTTTGACTGCTCTCACAGTAAAAATATTTGATTCTGTACTGGAGTCAACTCCATACTCAGAAGTTGATCATTACCCACCATTGAGGAAATCTGCAATATTACACCTCAAATCCTGGCAGCAAGTTAGAAAGGGGACTTTTACAAAAATTTGAAAAAATAAATTTACAAGTTTCCAAAATTAAAGCGAATGGCAGTGATTCGGATCATCTTAACTTGATTTAATTTTGACCCATCTAAGGACAAGGCACGGTTCTAGGCACGGGGAAATCTGCAGAGAAAAAAACGTTTCTGGCCTGAAAGAGCTTGTTGTACAGGGGAACTCTCCTAATGCCCGGACATTTGCAACTGACCAAAGAGATTCATAAGCCTAAAAACAAAACCTGGTGTGTGCATGAGGGGGCAGGAAGGGGGACTGCACTCCACAAATTCTCTCATTATTTTCCGTTAGTGCTGTCAAAACGGGTACTACTCACACTTCAGGGCACTGAAAGCCAGCTCATAGGACAAACGCTGAAAGGATTCATCCTCAGACTCGGTGGAGGACGGCAGGGGCTCATTCCCATACTTTATTAAGACTTTCTCTGGTGACTTTTCGAATCGAATGCCCTGAAAAATGTTCGCTGCCATAATGTAAACGGAGTCCGGATAGCCAGTTTTTTCGGGAAAACCAGTTGAGGTTTTTTCGCTGTATGCTGTGTCCCCTGACAGCGCCAGGGAAGAGAGTTGGAGATAAGAGAGTTGGGAGATCTCCTCGGTAGTTTTTTCTTCCGAAAACTCCACTTCACTGGCGGAGTCAAGCATGTTTGCCCCGTCACTGTAGTAACTCAAGCTTGAATTACAATTCAGATGTCCCAGGAAATGGTTTTCCTTGTACCTTAAGCATCGTCTCTGAAAAGAAAAGATTATCTCGGTAAATCACTATTTCTGCAGGACCACACTTGGTGGCCCACCTAGTGTGGCCCTAAAGACCAAGAGGTGGCATTTACTGGCCGACCCGAGCATCCCATACTTCGAGCCGGGCAAGTCCCAACGAAACCTCCACACACTCACAAAGGGAGAAGGGTGGAGACGGCTCTCAATCGCCTCGGAAGCGACGAGACTTTTACCGAGGCCCGTTTGGGAGCGTCTGCGGCCCCTCGGGCGCTCCTTTCACTGGCTCCCGCGAGCCCTCCCTCACCCCAGAGGGCGGAGGTTCCCCGGGGCTTTGGGGACAGAGACGCCGCAGCCGCAAGCACTTCGGGCACCTGTGGCTGGTGCCTGAAACAGCGCCCTCGGGAGCCCCGGACTGCGGGGCTACGGCGGCGACCCGCGCCAGCAGTTTGGTTCAAATGAGCCTCTCCCACCCGCCAGGGTCTGGGCAGGGGGGTCGCGACCCCGGCTCTCGCTTCGCTCCGGTTCCCGGAGGGAGGACGCGCCTCAGGGCTTCGCCCGCCCGTGCGCTGTCGCGCTTGACGGACGCGGCTGCGGAGCACAGTGGAGGGCGAGGCTGGTGAACCAGTCGACTCAGGCCGCGGAAAGGTAAGCCTCCCCCGCCTGTAGCAGTCCTACGGCCCAGAACTCGGGTCTCCTTGGCAACCAAGGTGGGGGAGGGAACGCCGCCGGAGGGAAGGGCAGTTCCCGCGGGATTTGACCAGAGCCTACTTTTTCTCAGCGAGTTGCTCTTCCTCCCTCGTCCCGGGACGCTTGTGTCAGCCCTTCGTGGAGTTGAAGGCCCATGCACAGTTGGACCGCGCCATCCTGAGCGTCCTCGACTTCCCCAGATTCACAGGTGGCCCCTTTTCCCCAACACGTCCCCTGCGGTCTCCTTGAAAGCAACAGTTTTGTATCGCTGACAACACCCAGTTTAGCGGGGGCGCAGGAAATGTTAAAACAGATGAGTGGGGCTTCCCTGGTGGCGCAGTGGTTGAGAGTCCGCCTGCCGATGCAGGGGACACGGGTTCGTGCCCCGGTCCGGGAAGATCCCATATGCCGCGGAGCGGCTGGGCCCGTGAGTCATGGCCGCTGAGCCTGCGCGTCTGGAGCCTGTGCTCCGCAACGGGAGAGGCCACAGCAGTGAGAGGCCCGCGTACCGCAAAAAAAACCCAAAAAAAACCAGATGAGTGTAGAACTACGGAAGAAAAGGAAAGAAAGGGACTAGTCGACTTTATTTCCACGCTTTTTAGGACAATAGATATCACATTAGACGGACCCTTCCAGAGCAAGTTGTGTAACGACCTTTGCCAATTTAAGACCGCATCCTTCCTTTCCAGGAGTTGCCTGCAAAGAAGGATGCTGCTGAAATGGGCCTACAAAAAATCAAATTCACCCCACCCTTCAAATTATAGAATGGAACTGGGATTATATATAAACCATCCCAAAGGGTTTTAATATGGCTGCTTTAATTTTTGAGAGCCCTGGAGCGAAGTCTGCATCCTAATGCATCAAAGAAAGTGAGCTGTGCTCATTTTTTTTTTTTTTTTTTTTGGCGGTACGCGGGCCTCTCACTGTTGTGGCCCCTCCCGCTGCGGAGCACAGGCTCCGGACGCGCAGGCTCAGCGGCTATGGCTCACAGGCCCAGCCGCTCCGCGGCATGTGGGATCCTCCCGTCCCGGGGCACGAACCCGTGTTCCCTGCATCGGCGGACTCTCAACCACTGCGCCACCAGGGAAGCCCTGTGCTCATTTTTAAAGGTAGTGGAAAAATACCCTCTTAATTTCTAGAATAAAAACAAAATGAATGAGATTTAAATCTTCTATTGAGTTTATGTGCATTTTAAACACTTCATTGATAGCCTTTTAGCCTGTTATCTCCAAAGTGCATGTTCTAAAACTGGAAAGGAAAAGATGGCTTTTTTTCCTCTAATGTACACCATTTGTATTGCTACTTTGAAACTTCTCCAGCAGATTTCAATAGGTCTGGTAGCCTACTGATTTTACTGCCAGTCAGAATATCTAGAGCTTTTTTGTATGCACTCAAATTTTTCTTACAGTAAAATTCAATGAACTAATGCAAATGTGAATATATAAAGGTCATGCAATGAAATGTAACATATATGTACTCCACATTTCTTGCTTGGTTTAGGAAAGTCTTCAGTAAAATAGAAATGGGCGTTGGATTTTGGAACTTCACAAATTATGTATCAAGTTTTAAGTGAAAAAAGTCAAAATCATTTTAAAAATCAATAAAAGTTGCTAATATCTACTTAAAAGAAAAAAAAACCTGCTAGATACTTGGTCTCCATTTTCTCCATAAAGCAAAAACCAAAGCCTGCAAGTTGAGTGAAGTTCTTCATTTTGTACTAAGTTCAAGCAAAGTCACATGAAAATCTTGCAAGTCCAAGCCCCAAACTCAGCAAAAAGCATGCTAAATATACTTGCGTTAAATAACTCTATTGGCTACTGGTTAGGAATCTCAGATTTTGTTCATCTACTTTGTAAAAGTGGTCCAATCTGGAAAAGAAACATAATTTACATAACTAAGATCAGTTATGGTCACTCAGGAATTCCAAATTGTGTTCACTAGTCCTTCCTCTGTGGGTTAAACAGGAAGGGATAGACTTTGGCATTTGATGAACTGATATCTGTGTAACCTTAGGTGAGTCCTTAACATCCCTTGGCCTCAGTTTCTGCATCTGTAAGGTGGAGTTAGTAATGCCTACCTTCGAGGATGTTTGTGAGGATTTAGTGGAATGATGTGTGTCGAGAAGACTGTCTGGAAAATATCAATAGTAGCTCAATAGTTAGTCCCTCCTTTCCCCCTCTATAAGGTTTATTTATGAAGCACCTTTTTTAATCTTTAGATCCTAGAAGGTATGAGATTACAGAGAAAGCTAGTCTGCTGAACTAGCATCTTAAAGACTTTTACTGGAATAGTAAAATAGAGATATGTTTGAGGTAGACTGGTATAGTCATTGGTTTTCAACTTTCACGCACCTAAAACCCTTGTTAAAAGTGCAAATTCCTGGAATTACCCCCAGAGATTCTGAGTAGATCTGGAGTGGAACCCAGGAGTTAGCAATTTTAGCAGGTAACCCAGCTGATTTTGATGTAGTCAGCCCAAAGACCACACAGTTGGAAAAACTCTGGTATAATTAAAAGACTACTGGTTCTAATTCCACCTCTATCCCTGACTTGAAAAAATCCTTTAGATTTTGTTCCCTGTCCTACAAAACAGATTAATTATCCCACCTTATTGTGAGTTGTGAGACTTTAATCTTTTCACTCTCCAGCACACCTCCCATACAGTATCTTCTTGTCTACCAGGACAAAACCCAGCTTTTCAGCAAGGCAGACAGGGTCTTCTGTTATCTGGCCTTTGTTTGCCTTTTTTTTTTTTTTTTAATATTTATGTGTTTATTTATTTGGCTGTGCTGGGTCTTAGTTGTGGCATGTGGGATCTTTGTTGCCTTGGGCAGGATCTTCGTTGCAGCAGGTGGGATCTAGTTTCCTGACCAGGCATTGAACCTGGGCCCCGTGCATTGGGAGTGCAGAGTCTTAACCACTGGATCACCAGGGAAGTCCCAAACTGCCTTTAAAACATCATTGCTTGGCATCCTAAAGTCACTCCTTAAACTTCCATATCTTTACACATGCTGTTCTCTCAGTCTTGAATGCTCTTCCCTTTTTGTCCACCTGGTGAACTCCTATTCAATCTTTGAAACTCAGTGCAAGCATCACCTTTTGTAAAAGCCTTCCTGACACTTGTATTAGGATGTAAATTTAGCCTCCGCAACAGAGACTCAAAATAACCACTGGTTTCAGTAAAATAGAAGTTTATTTCTCACATAAAGTCTTGTTGGCATAGTGGCTCTCCTCCACAAAGTTGTCAGGGCCCAGACTCCTATTTTAGAATGCATCTGAAGGGTTTGCCGTTGTCAGCTTAGCCCAAGATGGCTTACCACGATGTCCATTTCCAGCCAGTGGTTAGAGGAATAAAGAGGAAAGGAAGGACATGCCTATTACTTTCAAAGACATGACCTGAAAGGTGCACACATAACTTTTGCTTACCTTCCGTTGGCCAGTCACATGACATCCCTAGCAGCAAAGAGGTTGGCAAATGTGTCCAGCTAGAAATGAAGGGTACTATTGCTAGAGAAGAAGGGGAGAATGGATATTGGGGAACTATTAGTAGCAATCTGCTACAAACCTCTACCCCCTGACCCCATCACCCACCAGTTCACTCATTTCCATTATTCTCAATGTCAAGCGTTCCCTACTCTATGTTCTCATAACATTTTGTGCATGCATATGCACATTCATTCATTCATTTAACAGGTATATATTAAATTCTTACCATATACCTCACACTTTGCTCAGCCTTGGAGGTAAACTAAATGAGTGTATAGAATGATCCGGGACCTTACCCTCAAGAAATTGATGGATATACTTGTATTTGGACACCCTTCAATTTTTATTATATATATTTATGTACAGCTCTGTACCCCCCCTTCTGCCATCCTTCTACTCTCACAACTTGAACAATACACACACTCTAAAATAGTTTTATCATATCTTTTAAATTTTATTATATATTATATCTTTTTATTCCCAGATGCTTTTTATTTTCAGAAAGAGCAAAATATCACTCTTTCATACACACATACCTGCACAGAAGGTTATAAATGTGAAGATGTTTTAGGGATCATGATATATTTTATTATGCACCACGCAGTACACCGTACAATCTGTGGAAAATGTGAGGTAAAAGCTAGCTATAAACTTTAAAATACTACTGTCTTTCAAACTATAATTTGAGGAGCTCTTGTTTTTTTCGTTTTGTTTTGTTTCGTTTTTAATGATAGATCAATGTAAGTGACAGCTCACTGTATTGAAAACAAGATTTAATGAGAGTCTCTATCCCCAAAGTAAAGCTTAGGCCAGCAGTTGTGGGTCGATGAATTCATGGTTACTATTTACTCTAAGCATGTGTATAATCCTGCCTCCTTACCTTTTACTGCTGGTTTATGGACTCATTGTGGACTTAAAGTATTGTTGGGGAGGGCTAAAAGGAAGCATATCGGATTTCAGTGAGCACCATACAGAAGTAACCATAGAGATAGGTACGTGGATTCAACTGTTGTGAAAGCAGATAGGAAAAAAATATAGTCTGTTTTAAGTCGCACTCTGTAATGTGATCGGAACATTAAATCAGAGGTGGTGTAGAAAACTAAAAGTTAGTTACCTGGAGTTTTCTGCAAAAGGAACTTAAAGAAGTGATTT